AAAAGGAGATAACAAGAGAGAGAGAGAGAGAGAGAGAGAGAGAGAGAGAGAGAGAGAGAGAGAGAGAGAGAGAGGGTTTTGAAGAGATAAAAACGAGACGTTTTTCGTTTTTTACTGTCCATACTAGATGATATTGGTATTTCGTGTTCCATCCTCCTTGCATGACCGATGCCCTCTTCCGACCGATGCCCCGCGCGCTGCAGCACCCCCTCGGAAAGTTCCATAAGTTGTCAATAAGAAGAAGAATCTAATTCAAGATCATTCTTTTCATATTGCTGCCTCTTCAAGGTATTCCTATTATCTTGCTGACGTACACACTACCTAACTGTGTTGTTAATATGCCATTATACTCGATATGACTTTCATGGGTATGAATATGTTATTCGACGGCAGGGTCGAAACACGGATGTATTTGTTCTCACATTACTCATACATGAACTTACCAAAACGATATTGATCTCGCTAAAGAGTTCTAACTCTTGAATCCTGCTAAGCTCATACTTTTGAGGACGATGATCTTTAAAGGGACTTGGTAACATTGTTAAGATGAGAGATACATGTAATGGTGCTATAAGGTAGTGACTTCAATGCTTGATGTACAATTAAAGATAATCTGAAGTTTGAGTGAAAACAGACCATTGTTAATGATACCATTTGAGAAAAAATGATCTGATCGATTCCTTAATTCCTATATTATTACAATTAAATTTAACTTAAGATGGATGAAAGTCGTCACAGAGCAATGAGTTTGCTCTATATACTATTCCAGACATTTACGTGTTGACAGATTTGAAGCCTGTTTTATTTCTTATTTTCATAGAAAAACGGTTTGGAAAATTCAAAAATGATTGGGATAATTTACTGTTAGAGTGTGTCGCACAGTGACGCCTTCTAAGATAACCATAAATATCTCTGTGGTTTGAGAATTTGTTCATGATTTGTTGCATGTTAGAGGGTTAGTACAGTAGAAGGAATACAATATCAAGTTACATTTCACACCAAAACTACGCAATGTTTTCATCAACCTTCATTAATGTTACCGAGTCACTTCATCGCATAACGTATAAATTTTGTTAGACAAATAATGACATATTCACAGGCTTATTATCCTAGTTATGCCAGAATATGACGTAATTTTCAACAGACGTAATATTGGGTAATTTTACTTCCTTTTATAAAGTTCATATTGGTTAGAAAAAAATAATGACTTATTCAAAGGCTTATTGTAATTATGGTTATGTAAGAAAATGACGTAATATTCAGTTAGCAGGTGTTTCACCCACATTTTAATAGTAATTGGGGAAGCTTACAAAGTCATTATTACTCGGTGCTCCCTTTAATTGCACAATGCTTGCATAACACAAATATGTGTACACGTTATATCTAAGATTTACATTCATGTTTACAACATAATAAGTAGGAATGAATTAGAACATGAACATATAATACCAGATATGCGCACTAAAGGTAGGCCCTGCGAGGAAACGTCTGAGAAAAATTAAAATTAAAATATTCACTCCGAATTTTTTTGAAGAATGTGAACCAGAGAAAAAAAAGAAAGAACATGATTAAGAAGAGGGGAAAATGAAATGGTGTGGAAAGAGAATTATTATCAGCCCCCCTCCCCCTTCCTTGCGTGAGGAAAGGGCGACTATTTTTGATACACTAATCTCATTCAATCAATATTAGAACAATTTGTCTTCTATGTAGCAAAAGGGCGTTTAACAGGTTGTTGTATAAACATCATGATAATAATATCCTACCGGTTATAAGCGAACGAATAATGAAAGTACAGGCGTGAGAATACGTCATTTCCATGTCAACATTTATAAATAAAACGGATGCAAATGAAAGGTATTGAAAGCATATCCGTTAAAATGCTTTCCCGTCAGATTTCAGAGGTTGTTTGAGCTGTTTGAGACGTCTGGGTATCGCTTTCCTGAGATGTTGACATGATGTAAACATTTGCGTGTTTGATTCTAATCCTAGGGCTATGTAAGGACGCTGGAGGAATCAAATTCTACAAACTATGTGAAAAAGCGGGTTGAAGAAGTCACGGGAAAGGAAAATGGATGCAAAGGAAATGGATGCATATACAATACCCAGTTGGAAGGGATTTATTATCTAAAGATACGGATTTTGGCGAAAGGAAACGGTTCGAATGGAAACATGCGTGTTAATAGCGCCAAATCACTACTTTCTAGCATGTACTTGCTTAAGGGAATATTATGTAGGCGATCAAAGGATTACTTGAAAGGGAAGGCACCCTTTTTTTTTTTACAGCTCAAGTTGCAATTAGCGATACTCCTGGGTTTTAGCGTGTTTAAAGGATTTTACTTGTGAAGCCTCGCCAGATTATATAGATTACGAATAGAAACACGAATACCTTATTTGTTGTATATTCCTACCTCGATCCGGCACCCCCTCCCCCTGCCCCAGTTCTCTCTCTCTCTCTCTCTCTCTCTCTCTCTCTCTCTCTCTCCCTCCTTCTCCCTTCCATCTATACATAATATCATTACTATCTTGTCCTCGTCTGGTGGATACACCGGGGACTGTTGATCCTTGATTTATAGTTCAATAATATTGTAGCCGCTTTAAAATAAATGTCTGAGACACCGGCTTACTAATATTTCAAATTTATGGATATTCCTTTCCTGGGGACCTAATGACGAGCTGTTCCATTTACCGGTTATTAATGAATGAACTGCAGCACTTGGAAATCCAGTCTGCATAAATTTATTGATGCTATGTCGAACAAGCAGCATGCAAGCGTTAGGTTGTCAAAAAAGTATGTATGTTACATTAGTCAGCTTTTGCCATTTTCATCCCAGATGCATTTAGAAAAGGGGTGACTGAACGGAGACAATTCGCTTAAAGAAGTGATAATTGAGTTCTGTTGCAGAGGGCGCTACACGAAACAAGTTTTGGGGGAGATAATGAAAAACTGAGTGTCAAATTTGACAGAAAATACAATTGAAATGACAAAATCATCTTTGTTTGATCAAAATCGGTTTAGAGACGGCTGAAATATCCATAAATATAACGATTTCTAATATTTGTGTATCACCACAAATATTCGATAATTTAAAAGAGAAAAAACGCAATACCGCCTTTTACGTTGTATTTCAGCCAATGCCGATGTCGGCTTTTTTGTTGGCTTTTATGTGTTGCTTATATTACGCACAAACAGCTGGCCCATGTATTGCTATCATTAATGAATGAATTAATTAACAGTCACCGTATTTATTTAAAGTGGAGCTGAATTGGTTTGATCGTATTGGCTAAATTATACACATTTTGGGGTCTAAAATTACCTTCATAGCAATTTTAGGTCCTAAAAAGGCACTAGAAATGATATGGATAAGAATAAGAGCAATAGCCATGCACTTTAAAGGCATTTGCAGTCTGAAAATAAAACTCAACTATCCCTTTAATGCTTTCATTGCTTCGTTGTATGTGACTAACTTTTTCAAAGCTTCCAGAAACACACATTTTTTCTCCTATACTACATAATCATCGTTTAAAGTTAGTCTCTTCCACGACGCAATCACAAGATCAGTGCTCAATCAACGACTTCGTTCAATTTCGAAATTGTCTCGGGAGACGTGAAATGGGTTATCATTAATGTCTCCATCTGACCTTGGACTGTACTCCAATTGCAATATAATGTAACTCTTTGCTCGAGAGACCAAACCGAAATCTGCTCACGACGTGTATACGCCTGACGAAGCCAGACAACGATGAACATCCCAATTGAGCCCAGATTTAATTAAACTACCCCGTCTCGTGCCTCTAGAGATGATCACGATAATGGGGACGGGTTTGTATTAGGAGGGGAAACTCTACTCCCATCACAGCCGTTGCATCGCGTCAGGACGAGCGCATCAATTAGATACAAAAAATACTCAAGATTAAACCTCAAGGTTCGCAACCAACGTCTGCCTGTATTGATTTTGGATGTTGTAGGTTTTAAGGTTGTTTACAGCTTTCGTGGAAATCCATCGATCTTGGGAATTGTTTGATTTTAGATGAGAAAAGTGGAAAAAGCGAGAGTTGGAAAAATAAACAAATTGCATGCCTGAACCGGTATACTGTACGTGTGACAGCTAAGTGTTAAAAAGTGATCAGATGTCAGGTTTCAAACCTCAGGTTTTGCAACCATTGACGAGGAATAAGAATTTTTGGACGGTGAACGATATCTCATGAAAACCTTTGGTAGGTTTTCCCAAATATCTTAGTAAGATTTCATTTTGACACTAATTGGCAAATGATGGAATGTTACAACGATTTTCATGCCTGAAAATACAATTACTCAAGAGTTAACCTCAGGGGTTCCATACAGTGTCAACTTGTATTAATTTTGGGTGATGAAGGTTAGGGCTCGTGTAAAGCATTGTTTAGAACACAGCCACAAAGCCTTTCAGGAAATTAACACATTAAAAACATTTTCAATATCATTTTCACTGCCTTTAAGTTTAATCAGATGTAACATTGTATAGTGTTCGCACATTTCAGTAGGTAATGAACGAGGTTATTAAAATCGCCTAAGGCTGATTACTCGAAGGTCATTGCGAACGTGTTTAAGGTCCCGATACAACAAAAGCAATCGTCAGATATAGTTGCAATGAGTTGATGAAAGCGGAATGTTATGAAAGAAAGGAAATGTGAGACAATAATTTACATGCCTGGCCCAGATTATAAACTCCCTCGTGCGATGACCATGTGTAAAACAAACGGTAAACCGTACGTGCAGGGATTTCTGCGGACCGTATTGCTATCTGAAACAGACATACCTGTAGTGTACCTCAAGCAATGACAAAAAGGACCAGTAAAAGTGGCCCGTCAGCAAAGCATATCCTATATACCATTTCATTCCACCGTCAACCGTTGCTAATGCCATATACCATGCTTACATTTTCTATTTTGATAGCCGCTTTTTCTTCTAGTAATCCCTTCGTTGTTATCTGATTTTGTCTGTATTTTATTTCAATCCAATCCAGTTTTTCGAGCGCATGGTTGCAAGTAGTCGCATCTTGGCCATCGTTGGTAACTCCATCTCGTGGATCAGTCTCCTGGTGGCGCTCTGCATATTCATGCATTTCAGGTAAGACATGCGTCCCACTGCAGCACGATCATAAAGGCTTTCGCGAAATCAATTCATTGGCAATTCCAATACGGTAACTCTATCTCATATAAATCATGTTCTAGTAACGCAATACTTTTTATTTTTTTACTTTTTTTACATTTATTGTCCGCACATTTAATGAGGTGATGGAAAAGAATACCGACATTGCATTGCCTGAAGTTTATCTTTTGAAAGTCTTTGCATTCCAATTGCAAGAAATTCATAGTAACTGTTGTCGGAATTTCTTTTTCTTTTTCCAACCGGTCGATGGCCATGACTGGTAGTTACTCGATCTCAAAGGGGAGTTTTGACTTGGAATATTATTGCACATGCTTTTATCTACATACACAAACAGATCATCGAAATCCTGCAACATAATGACTAAACACCCAAAGATGCACGCATGCACGTGCCTTAAAATGGAATAATTATACATGTGGTTATACTTACACACTTACACTCCATCTCTGTTTTATTCCAATCGTTAAATTATTAACATTTAACTGGATGATTTATCCCTCAGTTTTAGTGTCATGATAAATTGTATAGTTTGTTTTCTTGAAAATAAATTCTGATAACAGGCTACTTAGTTTGGAAAAGAGAGCAGAGTAAAATAGGCACATCTCCTATGACCGCGTGTGTGTCGTATCTACTTACCAAGTGTCCATTTGTTTTGTACTTACCAAGTATGCGTGTGTTAGTGGACTTTAGTCCGTGAGTTCTGTCTTCTATACGCCCTCGGTTGAACCTGGTCACCCCATTGGACTTCGCGCGGCTATCACGTGACCACTCACTTACGGCGGCGCCAATATTTTAGTTTGTCTGTGAACGTATCGTGTGTAGTAGCCAGGTAGCTTAAGTTATATTGTTAGCATATACGCAATACGGTAGCTTGGAGGCGGTACGTGTTACATGTGTAAATTGAACTGATGCAAACATAGCCTCTCACATCACTACTTACCGAGATACCAAACACTCATAATATGCGTAATAGTATGCCCTTCGCGGCTCAATCTCAAACGTCTCGTTGCCTGTCGTGCTCCTCTCTCTCTCTCTCTCTCTCTCTCTCTCTCTTTATCCTTTTTTTTAACGGATTTTTTTCTTACCCCGTTTAATATTTGTGTCACGGTCGTCTAAAATCTACCTCCCTCTCCCTCCCCCCCCCCCCCCCCCCCTCTCTCTCTCTCTCTCTCTCTCTCTCTCTTTCTCTCTCTCTCTCCCTCTCCCTCCCTCTCTGACTCTTTCCCTCTGTCTAGGCGTAATCTGTTTGTTTTCTTTCTCTCCATCTTCCCCACCTCTCTCCCTCCGATATTGTTGTATATACCACACCCCTTCCTTCTTTCCACCCCCTTCTCTCTCTCTCTCTCTCTCTCTCTCTCTCTCTCTCTCTCTGTGTCTCGCTCTCTCTTCTACTTCCCTCTTTCTTTCTCTCTCCCGACCCCTTTTCTCTTTCATTTTTTTTTCTCTGCCACCCTCCTTTTATTTTCGTTCTGTCGCTTACTACTGCCTTCATTATGTAAGTCTAGTCTTCAGAAGGTATCTTCTTGCTTTTATTTTAGGTGGACTCTCGTCAAGTCTTCCCATCTCTCACTTTATATCTCTCTCTCCCTCTCTCGCCCTTTCTCATTGATTCCCGTAATGCCTAACGCCTCCTTTCGTGTTACTGATATTTCACAACCCTGCCTTGTTTTCTTTTTCTCTTCAGTCATTGTTACATACAGTATATCTATGCTTGCTCTGAGAGTGTCGTACACGCTCGAAATATAGTTCAGTGCATTCAAATATAGTTCAATCAGTGCATTAAAATATAGTTCAATCAGTGCATTAAAATATAGTTCAATCAGTGTATTCAAATATAGTTCAATCAGTGCATTCAAATATAGTTCAATCAGTGCATTCAAATATAGTTTAGTGCATTCAAATATAGTTCAATCAGTGCATTCAAATATAGTTCAGAGCATTCAAATATAGTTCAGTGCATTCAAATATAGAGGTGCGAAAACAAACGTCGCACACGCTCGATGACGACATACCAAATAAGCTATAACACTATTTGGGGGTAAGGTACTAAGCAAGAAAACGCAATGTTGGTTACAGAAGAAAAACATAATTATATTAATTCGAATTACTTCGTTAGGATGATAAATCAATAATCTAGAATAAGATAGCACTCGTCAACATTGTTCATATAAGGGCCTACGCAGGGTAAACCGCGGCGGTTTTTGTATATGTTAATTTTATTTATTTGTTTTGTTATTTGTATCAATAGTATGATTATTATTTTCAGTAGTAATATTATCATTATTGTTATTATAATATATCAATTTATATTTTATTAAGTTTTTTAAGTTAAGGGAGCGGGTATGATGAGATAAAATCTAATGCGGTCCACATGTCTTACATTAAAACACTGAGCTCGGGGAATACGCATGGGAGACCTTTGTTGTGGGCAGCTGTCATGCAATTACATTTACATAACAAAATGTTTACCCCCCCCCCCCCCCCCGAGAGAAAAAAATGAAGAAAAAAGGAGAATGAACACCACTTACGAAAATGGATGACAATAATTAGAGGCGATGTGCCTTTTTGCCTTTACCGCGTCATGTATGTGTGTGTGATTAATATTCGTTAGCCCGCTGCTGACTTCTCAAACAGAAACGAGCTACTAAACATGTATGTACACTCTATTTCAAGATTGTTTCATTCAGCCTTAATCATGCATCCAAATTCCATAACCACAGTAATAAATGGATTAAGCATAAAATGTTTGACATTGTAATTTTACGACGCATCGTTATTTTCATTTAGACCACAGAACTGCATAATGATGCAAATGATAACATGCAGATTCTAATCATATTTGACCTTTGACCTTTGATCCGGCAGGAGTCTGAACTGTAACCGCACCAAGATTCACAAACATCTCTTCGTCTCCCTTCTCATACGTCTCACAATCGAAGTCATCTTTGCTGTCGATCGCCACTACAGTATCGAACCCGGTCACAGATTCAATACTAACACGCTTCGATTTCAGGTGAGTGTCCTGGCCGTCTCACGTGACTGTTTTGGGCTCTTATTCGACGCGCCAATTTCCGCATGGGAAATTGAAATGTGTCAAATATTTCTCTGTAAAGGCAGGAGGAGGAAGGGGAGGATGGGGGGAATGGCAAGAGAGAGACAGACAGACGGAGAGAGAGAGAGAGAGAGAGAGAGAGAGAGAGAGAGAGAGAGAGAGAGAGAGAGAGTGTGATATATGTTAGTAGGGGGAGGGCAGTTTCCATAGTACATTTCGTTTCAATGACCTGCTTTACAACAACAAAAACTTGGAATTTAAAATGCAAAGAATGTTTCCCTGTATTAGGCGAGGGGTGATACATGTCTTAAAAGATATGATGAATGGTGTATTTGTGAAACACATACACGTCCACACTCCACACATCCCTGCATAATTACAAGAAATGTGCGTCCTTTAACACACACGCACTCAAAATAACCCCAAGCACACATCAATGAAATAAGTCATCATAGATGATAATAAAAGCTGCACGGGAAATTGAAATGTGTCAAACATAATGCTGACGTCAAGACAAAAAAATAGCAGCAGGCACGTCGGGGAAATGGCTTTAAAAAATGGGTAGGCGTTTGGGGCACCCACACACACTATTGTACTCTGACGTAAGAAGTCTTCATTGGTAATTTAATACTTCTAATCTCTTTTTAGTGATTTTAAATGCTCAAGGCATATCACAGGGCATCTCATCATGGGAGGTGCCCGTGGGGTTACATTTGATATTGTGCCCCTCCTCCATCTCAATCATGAAGACTCTCCACCCCTCATGTACATGTACATCCCTCCTAGGCTAGATTGTGCCACGGACGGAACAATTTCATTGTACTTCGATCGTTTTAAAATGTCACTAAGTTTTAAAACACTCTTTAAAGACGTCACGACGCAAAATATTTATCAAAGTTGTGCTTTTTTGTGTTTTTTCAATCTACGCCATTCTCACCCTTTTCTCTGCCATCTTGCAATGTCTTGTTATAGTCATTTTGTACGTATCATCAACTTATTATTGAGTATTATGCAGTGCCAGTTTTTCTTTGAATCTGTGAAAATACATTCCTCAGGTATTTGTGTTAGGGCCCCTCCTTTTTCTCGTCTACATGAATGATATAGTTAAATGTTCTTCAATTTCAAACTTCTCTTTGTTTGCTGATGCTACCACCGTTTCATTCTTACATAAAAAAATTGACAATCGTATATCATCAGCAAACAATAAGTACACAAATTAAATAAATGGTATGCTGGTAATACATTAGCTATCATTTCCAGAGAGAAAGCATCACTGACATTTTAATTTTCCCTCCCTATCTTTCTAGCCCATACTGTGCGAGATCTTCGAGGTGTTACGTGAATACGGACGGTTTTGTGCCTTTGCCTGGATGTTTATAGAGGGAATGTACCTCAATTCGCTGATCTCCCTCGCTGTCTTCGGCAAACCCAAGTTCCTGCTCTATTATCTGATCGGCTGGGGTGAGCAAAAATTAAAGTGATACAGGGGCGTTTCTAGAATTATGTTACCCCCCCCCCCTTATTTATTCGTCATGCAATAAATTGCAGTTAATGTGTATGTGCGTGCTCGCGCGCGCGTGTGCGTGTGTTAGTGTATGGTGAGGCAAGGCCATTGCTCTAAACGTGGAACTCAGGTTCAGAAGACCTTTAAAGTTGACTGCAAAGTTTGGTAGACCCCCTTCAAATAAATCTAGCAAGGCCTCTCTGAATTGAACTTGTACTGAGCAATATCTCTGTTTAGGAGTGTCTTGGCGAGACCCTACGGTAATAATTTAGCGATGTATGGCTGACATTGAAACTGAATTGAAAGTAAGTTTGAGTGGCGTCGTTAAAATGAAACGCAAATGAAAGAGAATGGGCAGTGAGTATCTGGGACGAATAAGACCGTTGTTCCCTCTTGTCTGTCGTAATCATCATTAGCGTGACGCTCGTAAAGTAGACCATGTATGCTATTACTTCTAGTTGATCTAGTTTTCTTTTCATTTAGTAAATGGGTTGAATGTACCATGTACCAAGTCTAGGCATTCTTTCTTTCTTCATTTCTTCATTTCTTCCTTTTGATGTTGCTTTCTTTCTTATTTATTTCCTTCTTTCTTTTTTTCAATGAAGCCCGCTCTTTATGATAAGCTTGACAAAAAACATTGTTCGAAGGACCTCATCTTGTAGGGATAGTGGAAAAGATATTTGCAACCATGCTCAGGTGCGTGTGTTCAAACAAGTACAAAGAAGATCAGCGCAAGGAACGGCAGTCGATGGCGTAGCGTGGAAACAGCCATTAAGGGGAAGGGGGCACTTGTATTAAATGAAATCAGATAAGAAAGAGCAGGGATAGAATGAGAGGAATGTGAACATCTTCTTAGAATTACATGTGCGTTGCCTTCTCCCTCTCCATTTCTCATTTTAATATCTCTTTTTTTTCTCTGTATATTATTTTTTGGAAGGGGGGGGGGACGGTTTCGAAGTGGGTATGCCCTTCTTCGCCCTATGTGGCAACGCTACTTGTATTAGGTAGTTAATGATAAATATATCTACGAAAAATCCAACGACTCAAAAGTTAGAATGTCTCGTGGAAATGCCTAGAGCTGTGTTTGAGCTTACGACATGGCCTGCAGAAGGAAGCCGTCAAGGGCATGTAATCGGTCCGCTGACGCCATTTTGCCGGACAGCAACAAGTCCTATGGGGGTGTTTATTTGAAAGCTATTCATACACCTATCGAAGATTAATTGGAAATGCGATACCCTGTTTGCGGGTATAATTTCTTTAAATTGCTTCGAATGCTGAATTTAATCTTCGAATCGTTTTCGAAACCTTTCCAACAAACTTGCATTTACCAAAATACTACCTGTTTAGTAAAGAAAAAGGATATTGCTACCTATTTAATAGTCTTTATTGCTGCAATAACACATTTCAAATGAAGTTCATATGAAGTGCGATTGGTGTAATATTCCCAGTCCTCTCTATTGTACTCACGTTTCCTGTCGATTAGCAAAGCAATAGAATGAATGTTCATGCCCTACATTTCAGTATCATGAGGGGAGTGGGGGAGGGGCGTTTAGGGCACTTTTGGTAACTCGAACCAAGTGAATGGTGCGTTGTGCAGAGGGGACACTTTATCCATCTCTATTGATTGAGGAAGATGTTTGGAGGCGTCTCCTTACAAACCGTTTCATAGTACAGATGATTTTCCCGATAATCCGGTAGAATTGACGCCTCCTTCCTCCCAGCTTCGATTTCTAGGTGCAATTATGTTACCCTACATTAATTCCCAACTGTCAATTGATTTGGAGTAAGGGCATGTAGGCGGGCAATAAGACCGATTCACGCGCAGAGGGGCTTTAGCTAGAGTATGTTTTGCCTCAAAATAGACGGGAAAAATTATGAATGATACTTGAGGATATAAGAAGTGCAAGGAAGACGAGTTAGAAAGAGTAGTTTAGACAGATGACAAGCAAGATTGATTTTTAAGATAGACCACTAGGAGAAATCGTAAACTGTATTGAGACCGGGGGCAAAATGAGAGTGAGAGAGAAGGAGAGAGACAGAGAGATTGGGAAAAGGAGAGAAAAAGAAAGTTAGATTTTTCTTTTAAACAGATTATAGCGAGGAAAAGTAATAAAATCGAGAGGGACATAGAGGATTGGAAAAGAGTGGTCAAAAGGGAAAAGAGAGAAGATAGCGAGCGAAAGAGAGATAAGATAGAAGGGTTCATATATCATAGTACCGTATAGACAGACAGATGAACAAAGATAGAGAAGAGATTGTCTGAAAAACATTTGAGAATCGTCAGTGTGCTTCATCATTTATATATATATACATGTACTTCTGGAATTGCAGGGAACACTAAAAAGCGATATAATGTAAAATATTGCAATACGTCACTCAATATAATGTTATGCATTGCATATAAAATAAATATTGACAACATTCTTTCTTTTTTTTCCCTCACCATTATTTTCTTTTTCTTTTACAGTGTTCCCTATTCCCTTTGTAAGTGCTTGGGCTATTGCAATGGAAATGACTAATGGAAATCGGTGAGTATAATTACTTTCATAATTTTTTTTTCCTTTTTACATGTTATTGTCTACCAATAGATATCAAAATCACTCGATTCGAGTGTAGACAATTACTAAGCGCAGATCCAATTCTTATATAACAATTGAGATTAGAATATACTTTTTTTTGGTGGACAGTTGCTAAAATCGATTTTGATTTATCATTATTGATTTACCAATAGAAGCCATTGTCCTAACGAATGTAATTTCCTACGCATCGTTAACATTTTACTTTAACAATCTATTTGGTATTACAATCGCGTTTTATAAGCTGTCTAAATTTAGAAATAAACATGATGGCTAAAACAAGAAAAAGAAAATGTACTTCCACACGATGGTACAAACTGTACTTGTTTGTTTTTAAGGAATTACAGCCCGAGGGTGAAACAGGGAAACACACTTTCGTTCTGAATCTTCAAGCGTTTTTATTTCCTGTTATTCCTTACGGGAGGATTGGTTTGAAGACAAGAATTTACATTAATCATGAGATTGTGCCGGGTAAAGCACCTAAAATTACGAAAACGTATACTAAAAACTCACATTACTGGGACGCAAATTAGCACTAATGGGACTACAGTGTATACGTGTTTGGTATTAGTCTAGAAAAGGATTCTCAGATGAATTTTCTATCCCATCGTCAACACTTATTTAAATGGTTTTATTTTAAACTTGAATAAATGTATTAATGCCATTAACAAAACACACAAAAAAAAACTAAAATAAATGACGGCGTATTTTAAAATGGAACAGTTAGGGGTTGAAATTGCATACGTCGACAGCAAGAGTGGATTACGCTCTTGAGACACGGAGTCGAATTCAAATTAGCAAAACAACTTTAAAGAAAAATTCGTAAACGAGGGAGTAGAGATTCTAAGTATTTGAATGTCTTAAACAAAAGTAAGATTCGGTCGTACTTTCGGTTTAATAGGAGCTTCGATCTTTATCAATGTGTGTCTGTGTATGTTGTTTTATTTCTTTCATATTTGCTTGTATATATTTTTGTGTGTAATTATCTATTTCCTAATTTATCACGTCTCAATGGAGTGCCTAATGTTTTCGATTTAATACCAAATGTTGATCACATACTGGATATTTTGACAAATATATGAACTCGATCATAAGTAATTGTGAAAAATCAACTTAAGGTAATTTCATGAGCCCCTTCCATCCATTTTGTTTAAATGGATGAACATTACAATGACGTATTACGTCATCCTAACATGCTTGCTATGGGAGTAATACAACGGGGTATTAAAATTACCTTTGGGTAGATATTTTGGTAATATAGTTGTGATCGTGTTATATTAAGATTTGTCTCTCTTTAATTTATTTTTAACTGAATAATGTTTCGTTTCAGATGCTGGTATCCACACGTTAATTCACTGTTTTTCAAAGGTCTTATCGAGGTTCCGAGAAATGTTCTTCTTGCGGTAAGTGTTCTATTAAATCAAAATTTTCAATTGAAAAGTCGATTAAAGCTTTATCATCATAATCTATACGGGTAACGTGGTTACAAAAATATGCAAACAGAGATTTCAGTTTGAAAATTTGATGCATGCACTTTCATCAAACATGTATTTTATTTATTTGTATATACCCCATTTTCAGTATACAGAAACATATCCGAATAACAGTTATGAAACATATGGTCAGGAAAAAGAATCTTGTTCCAAACAGTGTTGCCTACTGCCACTGCATTATTAGTTCTACAATTTTGATACTAAAATACATAATTATCTTACTGGATAGTTGAAAACATAATTATACAAGAAGAAGAAGAACATAAATCCCCTTGGCCAACCTAGATTATTGTTGAAAATATACTCCTTTTTTCAGGCTAGGAATATAAACATATATTTTGAAAAAAATATCAAAATTGGAAAACATCCCCCATTATTGTCATTGTAGAATTGAGAATACTTGGCCTTGCCTCAAGCCGTTTCGCTCGAAAGCAATTATCGAAGCCGATGGGATGTTTTTTAATAACTCTAATGGTTCAATTTTCTCTGTTGCAATATTTCATATCATTTGGGACTATGAAAGATTGTGAGATTTTTCTTCTTTCAATAAGTTTAAAGGGAAGCATTAGTCCTGGTACGTCAATAAATATCTTAATTTTGCACTATTGCATTATTGTAAATTGCTGACGCATCCCAAGGAAGTTTACCGAACCGGGGTTGGGGGAGTGGCTCGATCGTCCCTCCCCATATTTTTGAAAATTACAAGACATTGGCACAATACATTTGTTCAGCTCTTTTCAAAAGTAATCGAAACAGGTAGTCATGTTCCGTCTCGTTGGACCTCTTTACCAGTTCTGTCTTCTTCTCCTTCTTCTTCTTTGGTGGGGATTGGCGTAGGGGGCACATTTCCCCCACTCTCTGCCTACTGCTATATATCCAATTTGTGTATTTTTCCACTTTTCCAGACTTCAGTTTTACCCCAAATCAAAATACATTAGTCAAATTATACATGTACCCCCAAATTCAAATCGCTGAGAGGCTTAATCCCTGAAATATTGGTTTGATTTTTTTACAGGGAAAAATGTGATAAACACGTCAATTACGTGGATGGTAGAATTTCATCATTTAGGGTTATTGAACTTGTCAACGAAATAGAGCTTGACTGATTAGAGGTTGGCGAGGAAAGAGGTGTGAGTGAAAGACAGAATGACGGGAGAGAGATGGAGTGAGAGAGAGACAGACAGACAGAGAGAGACAGAGAGAGACAGAGAGCCACAGAGAGAGAAACAGAGAGAGAGAGGAGAGAGGGGGAGGGACAGGTGGGCTTGGAGAGGGAGTGGGAGAAAAGGATTGAGAGAGAGTGTAGGCTGGTAGAGCAAGAGGGAGAAAGAGGGAGCAAGGAAAAGGGTCAGGTCGGGAGTGGGATGGGAGAGGGAGAGAAAGATTAAGAGAGATACCGGAAGAGCGAGAGAGGGAAGTGAGGAAAACCACACGTAGAGCAAGAGGAAAAGGGAGGGAAGAGAGAAAGGGAGATGGAGCAAGAAAAGGGGGGAGATTGATAAAATTGAGATGAGATGAAGTGAGAAGAGGATAGAGGAAAGTGGGAGAGAGAAAAAGAGAGGGGAGGGGGAGGGGAAGGATGATGAGAAAAGATAAAAAGACAAAAAGTATGAAAGAGAGAGCGAGACAGGCCGACACAATGATACTGTTTCTAAACCCAAGTAACGATCTGTTTTCCTTTTTTTTGCGAACATTGTCTGTAAGATAAGCATTCCGATTTCATTGTTATCACAAATGATTTATAATTGAGGTATGAACCTTACCACCCCACGCCGTACACGGGTCCATAAAATATATCATCATTTCCATGTCTCGAATTTCGAGTATCAACTGATACTATACCATTGTGCATAGTGTTAGGTATAGAACAATGAATGCTTTTAAAATTACTCGATTAAAGATAAAGTTCTTGTCACGATTTTAAAATAAAGATTTAGACATAGTACTCTATATGGGTTGTGGTGATGTTTTCCAAGGGAAGGGGATGGGGGTGGGTGTCCGATAAGCTAAATCATAATAAATTCCTCCATTCCCAGCCCCCCCCCCCCACCCCCCATTTCTTAAAGACGTAATCAATTAGGTTTTCCTGAAAGCCCAACTTATCTGAAGATGTGGGATGAAAAGTTTTTTATCAGAATCTTACGAAATGGATTGTTAGAGTAAAGAGAATGGTTTATAGAAGAAGACAAAAAACAAACCATTTTCATTAAAAGATTTTAAATGTTGATGATACCAGTTATGATATTTTGCTCGAGCAAATGACGAGCAAATGGGGTTAATAATGTGGGAGGTGTCGGTAAGAATTAATGCTGACATCATAGGTATTAAAGGGATCCGGTAACTTTGTCTTAGATTCTGAAATAAAATTCTGGATTTAGCTCATGATGCAATGATAATTATAAACCTTTAGGTCAGTCAGGAACCCCATGACTTTTACAAGCCGATCGCCTGTCTGATTATCAAGATATTTATGATTGGAATTACAATTTTTTTTTAAACCGTTCGCCTGACGGTTTTCATAACACTACAGTCTATTGGGGAAAACGAGTATGGTAAAACCGGTCACTTAAAGATTTTTACTTTTTTGAGGCACTTCTTGATCATTTTGAAGCGCAATTTTTGTTAGGGCTTCAATATTACACCATATCACAGACACTGGTAACACGTAGGGCCGTGTATCTCATATTTAACATTGTTAAACGATCCATTTAAAGTGGGTACAGTAGAGGAGACTTTATTTCAATCTTCTCTTCTGTTTTGTTCAACTCTGCAGATCAACGCCATCTTTCTCATAAACATTGTGCGCATTCTGGTCACCAAATTACGGGAGAGTAACTCCGGAGAAGTTCAGCAAGTCAGGTCAGTTCAACTCAAGAATAAATATGCAACGAAAGAAATGATTGATATGTCAAACCTAGAATGATGGGCTGAGACAAAATTATATCTGCAATGACTATTGCTCAGTGAACAGATGAATAGGAGAAGTGACAGCCTGATTTCCAGAAATTCGGGAATTTGTTTATTATCATAAATAGTTCGTGGCCTGTTAGATTAAAAAAAAAAAAGATTCCAATAGATTCCTCCGCCCACATTTAGTTCATAACATGTATTGGTATGCACTACATGTCACCTTGCATTTTCGGTTTTGTGTTGTTCAAATATAAATGTGAAGTCCTTGTAAATAAAATAACAGTCTATAGCGCTAAAGTGCTATAGATGGGAGTTATTGCTACCTTGTTTGGCGTTCAAAAATAAGGGATAGAGCAACGTCGATCTGGCGCTGCTCAGTGGCTGCTGGGCTCACGATCAATTGGGCAAAAAGAATTTCTGTTTCGGTTTAATAAAATTTGGGGTGGACTATTAGGCTATTATTATTATTATTATTATTATTATTATTATTATTATTATTATTATTATTATTATTATTATTATTATTAATAAACATGTAGCCTCAATATTCGGTCGAAAGAAGTGCTACATCATCTACAAATTTCGGCCATTAGTCATCCCCATATCTACTTGAATGTAATTATGTAGCAATCTGACGTAAAATATCGGTTCGATGAAATAGTGCTTAAGATTATAGTAGTTATTTGAAAAATCCATGAAATTAACTAATCAATTTAAGAGGTACTGCACTACTTTTAGCTACTTGCGCCCTCTATAATTATATCGAACAATTTCTAAGCGGTACCCGCTGGTCCCCCATGGTCCCCTTTTTCGTATGTTAAATTGAGAGCTGATTTGATCAAATAACTCCCTGTCAGTAACCACGCAGGGAGGTATAGTCCCTCCTGGCCATACTAGTGCATATAGGCTCTAAATGAAAATAAAATTAAATATCCAAATAATTAATTTCAGTGTCATTTCTTTTTAAATCCATCATTTCTATCCTTTCGTGCAGGAAAGCTGTCAAGGCCGCAATCGTTTTACTGCCCTTACTTGGGATAGTCAACTTGTTGTGGGTCCTCCCCGAAGCTACGGCCAAGGATAGCCGGGCAGTTATCGTCATCTGTCTCTTCGTATTCAGATTCTTTGCCGAATTTCAGGGATTCTTCGTCGCTCTACTTTACTGCTTCTTAAATCGAGAGGTACGATTAGTTTGGACTGGTTCCAGGGGACACAAAAATATATACATTTTTTGTAATAGGGACAATATCGTTGTGTTCCGAAAAACCTAAACCAGTAGGTAATTCCTGTATATTCTTAAAGGAGGACCGTTTCGGTCTCCAAAGTAATCTGAATAAAGTTATCCTCTGCTAATGAAATTAAGATTAAGTGTTTAATCATGATGTGTAAAATAGTATTTAAAATTACAAATCTTTTCGGTGGACAATATGAATTACATTTGTTCCGACCAAACTGTTTAACTATATACGCCGGGACACAGATGATGGCGCTATTTACGGATAATGAATTAGAAGCACGTACAATTATATATGTAGGCCACTCGCTTGCTCGATGTCCCTCCTCCCCCTTTTTTTTTCTTTCTCTCTCTCTCTCCCTCTCTCTCTCTCTCTCTCTCTCTCTCTCTCTCTCTCTTTTCCCTCTCTATCTGTATATATCTCTCTCCTCTTCATATCATCATCCTCTCATTCCATTTGCCCCCTTTCTTTCTTTCCTTCTTTCTTCTTCTTCTTCGTCCTGTTTTTTTGTTCCTTATACTCTTCAATCCATCATTGCTCCTCTCCCTCCCTCTCTCTCTCTCTCTCTCTCTCTCTCTCTCTCTCTCTCTCTCTCTCTCTTTCACAAGTTCTCACCACCTTCAATCATAACACATGGGTTTCTTTAATTATATTTACATATAATTAATAATAATAATATACAATATTTATAAGGCGCTTAATACTGGTGTCTCTAAGCGCACCATATTCTGACTAAAAAATTATTTACCAAAACTTAGAATAAACACACAACTTATACATTCGTTCTTTATTCAATAAATCATGCATAAATAATAATGCAAATTAAGAGTTAGATCAAACATATATACAAGAGGTCAAACATAGGATCTAACATAGGATCGAACAAACAAGAAATAAGACGGTGTGCACCTCCTTTGACCGACTCACAACTGCAGAATATTATTTATTATTATTCTCTTAATAATCTAATATTTTGCTGTTTGGGTCCTAGGTTCGAATGGTCCTGAGGAGGAAGTGGTCGACGTGGAGGAACTACCGTGATCCGACGCGGCCGAGAAGGACATCGATGATTACCTCAACATCAGATGTAAGTCCCTCCCTCCCGCATCCGTTCCCATTCTACCTTTCTTATTTATTTATTTATTTTCTTATTAAGGAACCATTTGAAAGAAACCAAATTTCCATAGATATTTTACCCCCGTGATGGTTTTGTCAAGAATTATGTTTTTTGTCGGGGTTGCCAAATGGTTTCATGTTGTGTCTAATGTTGGGCATAGGATTATAGATAGGGACGCATATGGATTTTGGAATACTTTACAGGTTTTGGCTAGGGATGAAAGTGTTTACGGGACAACGGTTTCTGACCGGTAGTTTGGTAAATCATCTGAAGATGCTTGCAGTAATGTTAGTGATAGACATTTTCATGTTTAAGATATGTAATATTAATGGTATTTTTTCTTTCATAATCTGATCCACTATCATCATCGTTATCCTGCCCCTTTTGTTTCCACTCATTCTAATGATCATAATTATCACCACCATCACCACCACAACCACCACCGTCATCACCATCATCATCATCATCATCATCATCATCACCACCACCACCACCACCACCATCACCACCACCACCACCACCATCATCATCATCACCATTATTATCATCACCATCACCACGATCGTCACCATCACCATCCATATCAACTTCATCTACCTTATCATCTTCATTCTAACCACAATCGCTATCTTGTATGCCATCTTTTACGTATTTCTCTGTTTATAATACCATTATTATCAACATCGGCTAAACTGCAATAAAAAAAAATCATCGTCATATCTTTTATCATTACTGACAATCATCATCATCAGGTCCATTGTTTCTTTCAATCATACACAAATCTTTTTAGATCCACTCGACGCGAAGCACCAAACCCCGGATCGGCAGCGGAGGATTCGAATATATTACGGTCACCGTCTGAGATGAAGACTATCCATACACAAACTGAAGTGTGAAGTATCAAACGGCACAAATAAAGATATATATTTTCAAAAAGTCATGACTGCTCGATTGAATATAAAAAGACTCCTGATTTGAACCAGGGAAGACTGGAATTTGAACAGTTAAACGATTGGTGTCTTAAAAGCGAAATGTCTTGAAATATTAAAGTCAACATATTCAGGGAATGGAGTTGGAGGAGCTATTTTGGAGAATTTCAACATCGTGACTACATGTAGATGGCGTCGATAACAACAAATGTTTTGACCAACCAAACCTCGTTGAAATGAACGTCGAGAATCATGAAACCAGCGGTGGCCGCAACCTTTAAAGTTTGAACTCAGATTGGTTTTGGAACGTTACAAAATGCACTTCATGCAATTGTTTGCGTGGTTTCTTAAATGTTATTGCCGCTCGTTTATTTATTGTTTACAAAGTATATGTGTGTTCCGATAATATGTGTGTGTGTGTCTTTGTGTTTTATATTGCTTTTTTATAACGGCTACCTTTTAGAACAGTGTGAGCAATGTGAATTCTGAATATATATTGCAACCTCAATTCTAAACGTTTGAACAGGTCTGGAGCAAATATTTAGAAGTATATATTTTTGATTAATAACAATTCTTAATTGGAATACAATAATGAAAGCAGTTATAGTCACAAGGAGATTGCATACACGGCATGTGCTGTATTGGATTCCTTCGAATGAAGTAATGAGTAATACGATACAGAATATAGAAAAATAAAAGTACATTATCTTTCTTCTCTGCGTCAGCCCCAGTGAACTCGTTTTTTTCTCTCCATAATGTCCGACTCCTAGATGGCAGCAAATAAAGTTCAGAGTGTAGCGACCATTGGTTGATAATCATCATCATTTAAATCATTTAAACAAAAGTGTTTGGTTTAATAAGCAGCTTTTGTGCATGTTTTATGATCGACTCGGTTAATGTTATGTTCATGTTGCTGTAATCAATGATCAGTAATGGGTAAAGCAAAGTTGGGCATATAATTGCCTAAAATAGCCATTATATATTTAAACCAAATTTCCCCACTTATTAATTGCATTCTTCAAGAAGGGTGGAAATATAAATATGCATTTTATAATGCGCATAAAGGACCAATTCGCGTAAGTAGCGAGAATGGAAATATATTTTCTGTTTGAAACTTTTGTTTTACCGTTTTAATGACCAAAAGTAAATCGCACAAATTAAAAGCTGATTCTTTTATCACGACCAGGAGGTTTCCGTTGATCTTCGCCGTAAAAGTATCTTGATTTTTGTATAAAAATGAGAAAAATTAATTTGTATTTGTAAGTAAGACAGTATATGTACAAAATATAATTGAGAGGCATTCATTCTTGCAATGTACATATATACATATTATATAGAAATGTACATAAGGATTTTGCAAAATTGAAATTAGGAGTTGAGTGTGTATTTTTTGCTATCAAGACACAATATCGTGCACTATTATGTATTTATGTGTTGTGTTAATTGTTATCAATGTTTGAATATCATGCTTTTTTAGGAGACGTACACTGTAAATTGTTAGTTTATACGGTGGACTTTTTCCAGTGTGGATAATTAATTTGTATCATGAATTACTGGTAAAGTTTTGGGTTGGGAACTTTAGTGGTGTAAGGTAATTACATGTATGAGGGTTAACTTTAAAAAGGTCTATGATCAAGAAACACATCATCATGTCAATTGAATTGTTTTGTTTATGTTGGGAATATATTTGTATTTCTGTTTTTCGAATTAAGATTGCTCCGAATTTGTTAAATTGCAGACTAACTTTTTAATGTCTACACCATTAAGTAAAAACATGGACAATTATCGAATGTATCGACACTTTTCAAAAACAAATGCGATTTTCTTCATATCGAGATTTCTTTCTCGCAAAGCCATATTGTGTTTTATATTCTCAACTATATATAATTAACTTTCGAAGAATGGATCAAGTCTCGGTAGGGGTTCTTGCACACCTTCAGAGGCTAATCAATGTATTTCAAATCCTTTGTGTATTAAAGGCCGATTACGTTTTTGCATGCACCTCTTATGTTTGAATATCCTGTCTCTCAAAATATATGTATTTTGAATTCAATTTATCTATTTGAAAAAGGTTTAATTACTGACTACTAAATATAATACTCAACTATCCCCGCTGTACACATGTGCATGTTAATAGGCTACATGACAGAGGCTAGAACTACCCGTGACTATTACCTCAGACACTTACCAACCTGAAACTGTTGCCCATAATGTTGGAATAATATTTTGTATTGATCAATTTAAAGAATCGTATAATTTGATAAAATTGGTTCTAAGAAGACATTATTTATTTCTTAAATGGATTCAGTTATTCATTCAAGCATTTTCATTCGGGATAATAAGATCATTCACTGTTTTACAAGAAAAACATGACTACAAGCAACATTGGTGTTGATCAAGGAGGAATCAAGATAACACAGGATATGAGCAATATACCAAATAAAATTAAATAAAACCGCTCATTTATTCGTATGTTCAATCATTCATTGTCAGCATATTATAACCTTAAATACACATTCACATTGTTAATACAATATCAAAGTAATAACTCAAAATGCAACTGTGAGAAGTTACACACACTAAAAAAATCAGTTGTTCATTAGTAAACATTTTCTATCAATAATGAACCATAGAGTAACATTTATTCATTGAAGAGCTTTACAAAATTGTTCAAACTGGTATAGGACAACTACATTACCGAACTTTTACTACTCGGACAACTACCACCGGACGATTACTACCCGGACATTTACCACCGGACGGTTATAATCCGGACATTTACTACTGATATACATACTAGCGACAAAACAACATGGGTAACTTCTTTCATACGGTTGACTTTTCCAAGGGTATTGGTCTGTAATAGTCAATAGACTATCGGCGGTCGATTCTCATACTGTCGGGCCATTTCCCATCCAGTGTCTATGATATATATGGCGTGGTCTAGTGGATTAATAATTTGATCGGGAACCGCAAGATCATGGGTTAGAATGTCCTTTAGTATGTTCTTAATTACCGGCTATATTCGGCCCAGGTGGGGTGAATGGGTACGCTGTAGGATTAGGATTATGTATTTAAATGAACTGTATACTGATTATTAACAAGTTCCAAACCTCGTTGGTGACGCATAGAGGGACCTTAATTCACCATGTTTTAACGATAGTTGGTATTCCAGATACAATGATAATTATTCAAGGATGATATAAATAAGGGCGGTTGTTTTATGTTAGGATTGACCCACTCATTTAGCTTCAAACAGTGTGTTTAATTTTATTATTTACGTTGAATCTTGAATAGAAATTTCGCATTCGAAAACGTGGATTTTTAAAATTATTTCTCAATTGTGAACAGATTTCCTTTTATTTTGATTACAACAATGGGTCAACATTTCATCTCTTTACAACCGGTTAAGGATTTTGAGAAACATCATTATTATATCTGGTACAAATCTGACGGACCAAAGGTAATTAGAAATAAAGAGAGGGGCCGTGGTGGAAATTATCGGCAAATTTCATTTTTGCACGAGTTCATCCCTGTTGACTGATAGCCCATAAGACCGTCAGCCCACGAGACCGAACAAACGTAAATGTATTGATCAAGTAATGTAGAAATGTAGAAACATGAACAATTCTGCGAAAATGACGGGCAACGAGACCAACATGCCAAAAGACCGAAAACACATGGGAACACATAAGGGGGGAAATGTGTCGATCCCGTAAGCTGTCGGTCTCATGAACCTTCAGGAATATTATCAGAAGGCTCACAGGACTAGCATTTTCGGTCTCATGGGTTTTCGGTCTTCTGAGCTTTCGGTCTGGTGTACCGTCGGTCTCGAGGGCGGTAGCCTTTTGCACAATGTCCTAAACGAAAACCAGTACTACGGTCTATCCCGAAACCACGAAACTAATCTGAAGTTTTGAACAATGAGTTTTCATCGTTCCTCCAGTTCATTCTAAAACATAGCTCATTTTGTTCTCCAAAATGTGAAATAAATGTGGTGTACAGTAATATTCATACGATTTCAGATGTGTGTCTGTATTTTCAGTAAAATGCAAAAGTTCACGTACTGTTTGCGAATGTAGAATGCACACCAAACTAATGTTTGAATTACTTTATGTAACAAAATACACTGCACAAATAACTGTTTCCTATTTTAAGTAAAATAATTGTTATGCCCATGTTCTTTGTGGACGTGTACTGTTATTAAGAGAGTATGAATCAAAGAACCAATATATCGGTTTCCGCTATCATCCAAAATAAAGTTTGTTGCTATTGTCGAGCACGTCCAATAAGGGAGTGGGGGCGAGAGCGCTTACCCAACACGTGTCACTACGCATTTGCTTCAAACGGGAATACAATTTATAAGATAAAATTTATTTCTAGATTTTCCTAATATATTGGAGATCCGATGATGAAAAGATTGAATAATCATGTCAGACTCGTGGCAGTGATACAAATTTGTTTGCTCGTCTGTAATCCTATTCTTTGGTAAAATAAGTGCACCCTATCGACGTTAATTTCCAATAGCAACAAACTACATTGTTGTTGATAGTAGAAACCCACTATTGGTCGTAACTGATGAACTTTTGTTGCGATAATGATGGTGGTGGGTGAGAAATAGTATAGATGAGTAATGTTATAGTAATACTACTATGGTGATATTAGTGACTTGAGTATTATGTGGTATCAACATGGCGACGAATATGATGTAGTTAAAGTGCTGATGAAAGTGAGTTAATGATTGTAGGACAATGGTGTTGGATATGGTGGAGAAAATTGAATAGAGATTCTGGAAAGGAGAAATACATTTTGAATCACATGCAGAAGGTTAGCAATAATTTGTTTGAGAACAAGCAGGAAAAGAGAGACATAAAACGAAAGAAGAATGAAAGGAGAGTATAATTAATGAGAAATAATTAGTAAAAATTAAATATAATGTATCTCTAATCGATTGGGGAGAGAAGAAAGAGATATGAAAGGAAAAGAGAGAAAGAGAAGGTCAGCTTTAAATCTCCTTGTTACGACAAACTTCGGATGGGTGGGGGGGGGGGGGGGAGTTGACAAGAGAGAAAGAAAGGAATAAAACGGGGAGGATAATACGAGATAGATATACAGAAGGAGATGAATATAAAGGAAAGGATGCTCAAAACAAGTCTGCAGCGAGCAAAAAAGGGTTGGATTGGTGAACGGATCATGGAAGTGAACAACATATTTCCAAGGTTCCCTCTTTAAATTATAATTCTATATTTATTTTGCTGTTATATTGCTTTTACGCTATTAGAATCCTATGAATAATAATAGCTGGGATTTGTTTGTTTACTTAACAAAATCAATATGTAACCGAAGGCCTACATAATACGGTTGGTTAGGTAAGAATGCCTGTCCTTGACTTTCGCTGTCCTGTAAATATTTGACCCTTCCTCAATATTACGTCCAATTCGTTGACCGTTGCGTAGAAAATCGATCAAGCAGAATTTTCAAGACAAAGTTCTGTTTTGAACGATGGGTTAATGTCGAAACTTTGCTCTGTAGCTTCCTTAACTGCAGAAGCTTTCATTGCAAGTTTTTTGCAAGAGAAGATAAAATAATGTTAATATCGTTTATAGTGATTAACGTAACCGCGTATTAAAACCGACATCAAATCACATCGACTGCTCTTTTTTGCGATCAATTGTCGTTCTGTCGCTACTCGTGACGATGTGAGATTCTCATTTCGATCTCCCGGGTCCAAAACCAAATTAATGTGTTACTTGGGTAAGGCGTTGATTCTCATTACCAAGTCCCTCGGAGATGACGTAAACTCGTATGTTCCCCGGTTGCTTAGTTACAAGCAAAGATATGCTTTCTTAGCGGTCAGGTAAAGTAAGCAAAACAACCACACTGGAATAATTTACTTTCGGACATAATGCACCTCATGAAATACATTGTTAAGTTTATGAAATAACTCTTTAGTGAGCAGAATTGTACAATTTCTCTTCGGGTCAATGAATCATCGCTTCTAATGACATGAAAGGAGTCAATCGTAAGCATTACCTCGAGAAAAAAAAATGAGACAGAGAAAGAAGATGAAGAAAAAAAAAAAACGTTGTATCGACTTGTATTTATAGGGATGTTGACGTACATCCCCCCCCCCCCTTTTCCGGGCCCTCAAATACATCGTCAATGAACAAACGTGGAAATGGCAATACCCTCATCATCACCATCATCCAGAAACAGTAACATGAGTAATTCCACTTTCATCCATCTAGTAATATCGGTGCCCCCGTCCCGCCCTCAACAACCACA